TCTGGTATTTCATTTACTCTTTGCAATCATGTGGAAGCTAGAATCTGTTACCCCAGGGTCATATACCTGACAAGAGCTAGAGCCAGGATTTGAACCCAGGTCTGTGTGGCTTCAAACCCAGTATTCTTGCCCTGGCCAGTGTAGCCAGGGTAGGTTAGGCATCGCCTTGTGCACGGAAAGGTTGCTAGTTTGATTCCTGGGTTTTGGGTTCGATCCCCAGTAAGAGGTGTGCAGGAGACAGCCCATCAATGTTCTGTTCTCACATCGATGTTTCTCTCTCTCTCCCTCTCTAAAAACTCAATAAAAATATTTAAAACCACCACCACCCAGTATTCTTTCCACTGTAACTCATCACCTGTCTACCTCAGAAATCTTGCAGTCATACCCCAGCTTACTCACTCAATTTTGTTTGTGGATAATGGCCAAAGATCTTCTGAACAAAGGATAACTTTATTCATTCAACACCTACCTCATGTTTTTTTTTAGACATGAGATAGCCTTAAGCCAGCAATATACTTTCTTCTGAACTGCCAAGTATCTAATATCTTCCTTTTTCCCCAGAAAGGATATATTTAGGTCTTTAAACGGGTCTTTCCTGTTTGTACTTCCCGTCAAGAGACCAAACCATTTCATGAACTGATGACAGGTTAGTAGTAGGTGTGAACCTTCAATTCTTTCAAGAAAAGAGGCTTTGGTATTCTGCAAGACTGGAGCTGCCTCCAGCTTCAGACCGGGGGTTCTCGGCCAGGAATGACTTTGCTCCCAGGGGACACGTGGCAATGTCTAGAGCAGCGGTTCTCAACCTGTGGGTCGCGACTCCTTTGGGGGTTGAACGACCCTTTCACAGGGGTGGCCTAAGACCATCAGAAAACACATATATAATTACATACTGTTTTTGTGATTAATCACTATGCTTTAATTATGTTCAATTTGTAACAATGAAATTGGGGGTCACCACAACATGAGGAACTGTATTAAAGGATCGCGGCATTAGGAAGGTTGAGAACCACTGGTCTAGACAGTGGGTATCCAAACTGGGAGGGGGTATGTGTGCTACTGTCATCTTGTGAGTGGAAGATAGAGAAGCTGCTTAACATCCTACAATGCACAGGGCGGCCCCCGCGACAAAGGACTATCTGCCCAAGATGTCAATAGGGCCAGGGCTGAAAAATCCAGCTTCAGATCCGTGAACATTCTCTTCTCCTGGGGAAGAAACCACCAAGCCCTGCCCCAGGAGAGAATCCTGTGGCAAAGCTGTGGGGCACTCCGCTCGCCCGAGGCCCAGCAGCTGGGGGGAGTCCTGTCCTGAAGAGGGGGCTCTGGCCCTGGCAAAATGGAAATTGGGGAATGGTTCCCAGGTCACACAGGCTGTAAAAGTCTTTCTCATCAAAATACATTTTGATTTTTTAAAAAAATTACTGTTAATAACTATGTATGGCAAGCATGTCAAACTCAAAGGCTAACACAGGCCAAATAAAAAAGGTTTAAGTTTCTGTGGGCCGCAAAAAAACAAAAGCTTCAATTTTCATAGAAATGTAGGTTTATTTCGATAAAGACATGCTGAATACAGAGGGCTGAAATAAATGAGTCATCATTAACATAAAATATTCGCTGCTAGTATTAGTGGAGAGAAATGGTGCGCCTGGTGGGCATAAGAATGAATGCAACACGATTATAGTAATCAGTCATTAGCGACCGTTGTAGTTTGTTATTAATAAGTATGTATAACAGGATATTATAAAAATTAAGCTATGAAATTTTTATTAAAACATTTCATACCATTATATTGGCTGGGCCGCAAAAAAATTTGTGTGGGCCGCATGTGGCCCGCGAATTTGACATGCTTGATGCATGGTACCAGGTGGGCACTGGAAAAACCAACGGACACTTTGTAAAGTATATGATTGTCTAACCACTATGCTGTACACCTGAAACTAATACAAAATAATACTGAATGTCAACTGTAATTGAAAAATAAAATTTTAAAAATTACTGTTTTAAAAAAAGCAAACATAAGAGAAATTGTACAAAGATAGTCACACCTGGCCGGTGTGGCCCAGTGGTTGAGCATCAACCCATGAACCAGGTCACGGGTTTGATTCCTGGTCAGGGCACATGCTCAGGGTTTGGGCTCGATCCCCAGTAGAGGGTGTGCAGGAGGCAGCCGATCAATGATTCTCTCCCATCGTTGATGTTTCTATCTCTGTCTTCCTCTCCCTTCCTCTCTCTGAAATCAATGAAAACATTACAAAATAAGCCCCAGCTGGTTTGGCTCAGTGGATAGAGGGTTGGCCTGCAGACTAAAGGGTCCCAGGTTTGATTCCAGTCAAGGGCACATGCCTGGGTTGTGGGCTCGATCCCCAGGTGTGGGGGCTACAGTGATTGTCTCTCATCACTGATGTTTCTATCTCTCCCTCTCCCTTCCTCTCTGAAATCAATAAAAATATAAAAAACAAAAACAAAACAAAAAACATGTTAGAGCCACGTCACCCCAGTACCCAGAGGTGATTGCGGAGTTTGGTGTGTGTTCCTCTAGGGCTTTCCTAGCCATAGGTATCACCATCAATACAGAATGGGGGGCGGTATGTATGCTTTGCCACTTACTCTCTCTCACTCCTCACCCATCTTGCACACATATCACGCCCAGCTCTATGGTTTTCCACTGTACAGATCAATTAAGTCCTCACTGACAGATGTGTGGTTCACTGCCAATGTTTTGCTATTACAAAGAACATAACACTGAATAACCTTTTCCTTTTTTTCTTTGTAGACTTAGGAGGCCTCTAAGTTCTGAGAAGTGTAAATGCGAAGTTCAAAGGGAATGTATATTCAAACATCTGTATTAGCAATAAAAAGGGTCTTTGTTATTCCTCACAGACTCATTAGCTGAGTCCCTGTGAAAGTCATCCCAAGAAAACACTCACTGCTGAACTGTCATCAAGCCTCGGAGCCCAGAGTGCCTATCCTACCCTTTCCGGTCTTGTCCTCCGTTAGTCTCTAACTGGCTACATTGTAAGCATATGGCAAATGACACACATATAATGGAGATTAATTGCAATAGTTGCAAATTTAGTAAAAGATGGTGGATTTGGTGAGCTTTTTATAAACAATGCTAGAACACTGCTCAAATACCAAGCAAAGCCACTGAAAGATGTGGACTTGGCGGACTCAGCCCAGTTACTGAAGGGAAAGGTGATAAAGTGATCACCAATAGACACCAATAAAAAAGAACGATGTGACTATCAAGATTGAGGTCCTTAGGAAAACTGAGCAAGACCTCAAATATTTTTGCAAAAATTACCTTAGATTATGCTGCAAAAGTAAAACAGGAAGGATATTGTAGGATACTAAACACAATTTCACTTTAAAACCCAACACTTGATTCATTCTTTGTTCGTTATAAGAATACTAGTGGCCTGGTGCACGAGATTTGTGCACGGGGGGCCCGATCCCCCTGGAAATTGGGCCTAAGCCAGCAGTCAGACATCCCTCTTGTAGTCTGGGGCTCTCGCAGTCTGGGACCCCTCACTCCTTACCACTCGCCTGCAGTGGAGGCGGCGGGAGAAGCTCCCGCCACCCCCACTGCGCTCGCCAGCTGTGAGCTTGGCTTCTGGCTGAGCGGCACTCCTGCTGTGGGAGCTCACTGACCACCAGGGGGCAGCTCCTGCATTGAGCATCTGGCCCCTGGTGGTCAGTACACGTCATAATGACTGATCAATTTGCATATTACATTTTATTATATAGGATATTTGAAATTATCACTTTGCTTTTATAACTTTGGTTTCATGGTAAAAGTCCCACGCAGACTTCCTCTCCCTGCCCCCACATACTATGAAATTTTGGTCCTCATTTCTATGTGGATTCATTTAGGTGAGTTTTTTTCTGGCGCTCATGTCTAGTGTGTGAAGGCAAAACATTTCCTACAACTGCCTGGTCCTTACGGGGGCTGACGTAGCACATGTGACAACCGGGCGCCTTTTCTCTGAGCCCTTTAAGAAGTCACAGAGAACAGAACAGGATGAAGAGCCTGTGCTGGGTTTGCCTTCTATAACTGCCACCATCCCTGACTACCAGCCAGGAACCAGATGACCCAGGACACAACCCACCCTGGGCACCTGCCAGCATGCCCAGCCACTGAGAAGGGAGCAACCAACACAGACCCTAAGAACAGCTGAGAGAACTTGGGCCCTTTAAATCCTCGGATGTTCTGAAGAATACTGTCAAGGGCCATACACAAGAGTCATAAAATACATTTGCTTAAAAGTCTATAATCAATGTACACACAGGTACACATCCAACCTCCTCTCTAGAAATTTAAAAATAAAAATATACTTTCTATGGGTAGTCTTAGAATGTCAAACCTGAACAAAACCAAGCACCTACTTTTAAAAAAACTTCATTTTACAAATGAGGAAATGGAAATCCTGGGTCAGGGGTTGGTCAACTTTTTCTGTAAAAGTGTAGGAAGTTTAGACTTTGTAGGCACATGTTCTCTGCCACAACTATTCAGCTGTCACTGTAGCCCTGAAGGCAGCCACAGACAACACCTAACCCAGTGTGTGACTGTGTTCTAATGAAACGTTATTGGCACTGAAATTTGAATTTACATTATTTTTCACACGCTACAAAAACACTGTTCTTACTTCAACCATTTAAAAATGTAAAAACCATTTTTAGTGGATTTGGCCCCTGGGCTGTGGTCTCTGACCCTGTCCCAGGCTACTCTGACGCCCAAGGGCAATACGCCTAGTGCCTGCCTCCTTATAGTACCTTGTTTATCTGCCCTTTGCTTTACCCATTCGCTTCAAAGACTCAGATCGGCTTCACCATAAATGTACAACCAAGGAGCTCTATCCATGTTTTTTCGAATTTTAGGAGTAATATTAAGATCTGTCAGAAGCATGTGCCAGGCCATAGCTGAAAGAACATTGATATAAAGCCATGTTGAGCATTAAATAAAAATGATCAAGAGAAAAATGCAGTAAAATTGAGAAACTCGCTACATTTGAAAAATAGGCTTTATTTTGACCAGTGGTATTGTGTGACATCCTATATGGGATAACTGATTATAGCCAAGTTCACGAGTACAAATGAAATAGCAGTTTCCCTCATTCTCTCTTCTGAGTTCCGCTCAGAGAAGTCAGGAGATGGGAGCATGGTTCTCAGACACAGGAGCCCTTCCCCAGGCTGCTCAGCTCCTAACACCTGCAGAGACCTGGACGGGAAGGTATGCAGAGCAGCACGTCGGAGGAAATCACACCAGCACGTACAACCCCACACGCTGACAAAATTCACCCTGCCGTGGGCTGTGAGGATCTGAACTGCACGCAAGGAGATGAGGCCTTTGCATTCATTTTCCTTAAAGAGGGGACGATCCCGGGTGTGGCATGACCGCCATGAGCTGCCTCGTTCCCTCGCTCCGGCTGACTCGGCCCTACGCTGTCCTCCTGGAGTGCACAGTCACTGCACTGTGACAGAAATGGAAACACCTTGCGCCAGTGAGAGATTTTGTCACATGGCCGACCCTGCAAGTGGCCTTACACTTTCTCATTTCACAAAAGGTTTAAATACCTGGGCCCTTATGTAGCACAAGATGCCTGAAATTCAGAAAATTATGAAAACGACTCTTCTCCACCCCTGAGGATATTTCATCTTTATGAAGTTGAAAATACAAAATATTACAATAATTTGCCCTTTCTCCCCATCAAAGGAATCACATTCTCAAAGGATTCCTGCAAAATACAAAATTCATTTCTCCCTAAACTGAGACCAAGAAGCCAACGTTACGCTGCCAAGAAGACCCTAAAGAAGGTGGAAAAGACACCTCATTACTTTTTTAGAAAAATAACCATATTTAGACAAAAATAGAGAAAGGAGTTCTGGCCTCATGAGCGTTTATTTTTCACTTTGATTTCGGCGTTTCTTAGCATTGGTTATTGGGAGGGGAGAGAATGACTTGTTTCCAAAGGCTGAGGTTTCCTGGGAAAAGCCCCATCTTTCCCATGATGGCTCCCCAAAAACAGTTTCTTGAAAACCAGATGGCAGGAAAGAAAATGCTATATATCCATCTGTTCCATTTCTTCATAATTTTCACATCAAAAGCACCTGGAGTATCAATTGTGTTCAACACAAAATAGCACTGGGGGCTGAAGAGAAGATGTCACCTGCCCGTAGCATCAGCCAAGGTGACACGAGTTCTGAACTCCCAAGAAGTCCTCACTGGCACACTTGCCTGGCACCAGGGCCTCCTGAAAAAACAGGGCAAGCAGCTGTGCATGCTCAAACAGCAAGGCGTGCAAGACATCATCACTCTGCTAGGAAGAAAGAGCACACAGGACGTCCACAGACAGCAAGAGCCGGCCTCTGGTGACTGGGTCCAATTCTCCAGAAACCTCTGCACTGAAGGGGGGCAAGCAGAGAAATGGCACAACACCCGGGATCGAGAGAGCAGCACATACACGCATGCCCACACATGCACACGGAGCCTCTGAAGGCTGTTTCACAAGGTCGTCCACCCAGCTGACTACTCGCCTGGCTCAGAACTTCATCTCCGCACTCTCTTCTCCCTTTTAAGGCACAAACATATTTAGTCCCAGATACACCTGCTGAGTTCTGAGAATGGGACAGAGCGAGCTCTCAGACAGGCGCACAGAGCCAGTTGATCCTGTTGGCTGTACACATCCTGAGGACGGCTCCAGAGCTGAAGCAGCCAGAAGGGGCGAGCCTTTTCTGTGCCACTGTGGTCAAGGTGGGCCCACAGGAGAGGCCAAAAGAGTAAAAGCATGACTGGATGTAGGACGCTGAATATTTGTTACTTTGCACTGAACAACCCTAAGAGCCGACTCACGAAGAAGCGGGAGCAGAGGCGGCCACGGGGTGTCTGGAACGCCACGGAGTCACTGTGATCGCAGTTTGCTGCTCATAGTCTCTTACCCTCCCACAAAGACAGACACACACACTAACACACATGCGTGCACGCACACACCCCTCTTCCACCATGGAGGAGATCTTCGCAACAGGAGGCACTTGAATGAGATTTGGAGAGTTCCCGTGAAAAGGCCTTCCCCTCACAGTGAAATGGGATCAGCAGAACAGAAACCAGGTGCTCAGGATTCCATCTCTTCTTGGTCAAGGGGCGGAGGCACAAAGCTGACGACTTCATCGTAGGTCAGGCCTAGGGATTGGGAAGGAAAGCCCAGGTGAGGTCAGGCTGCTCTTTGCTGGCAAGCACTGTGCTTCTGAGCGCAGACCTGCCCTGCCTCTCCCAGCTGGTGCTGGGAGGGACACTCCCAGTAACCATTCACTGCTGTGTGAGATCCCACTGGATCATGTGACTGCCCAGAAGTTCAAGGACACATACCTAAACCCATCTTCCTAGTTTCTTTCATCGCTCAGTGCCTCCTCCTAGAGCTCAAGAATAACAGAGCAGCCCGCCAACACGCTCCAGCAGCAGGAAAGCCTGGCTTTGGGCAATTGCCCGGAGCTCCGGATTTGTGTTTTATGGAAAGAATATGAGATCAGGCCTGGGTCCCATTTCCGGCTGTGTCCCTAACTAGGTCTAAGGTAATAGGTAAGATATTTTGTCCCAATTGTATCAAGTATAAAACTGTAAAAATCCCCTTCCTCTACTCATCTCAGAAAGATGCTGTATGCCCTGACCGGTTTGACTCAGTGGATGGAGCGTCGGCCTGTGGACTCAAGGGGCCCAGGTTCGATTCCAGTCAAGGGCATGTACCTTGGTTGTGGGCACATCCCCAGTGGGGAGTGTGCAGGAGGCAGCTGATCGATGTATCTCTCTCATCGATGTTTCTAACTCTCTATCCCTCTCCCTTCCTCTCTGTAAAAAATCAATAAAATATATTTAAAAAAAAAAAAGATGCTGTAAAGGAAAAGATTCTGAGAACCTCAGAGACGAGGCAGGTGCGAGGGGCTGCACACAAAATCAGAGCAGACGTGAGGGTCTCCCAGCTTGGAGAGTGTCACCCCTTCACGCTTTTGACAGAGGCGCTCACTCTGGGCGAGGCCCTGACCACAGTTTTGGCGAGCTGCTGCCAGCCAGGCATTTTATTCTCCTGTGCACAGCTTACGGCGAGCGGCTCACCGAGGAAGGATTGTCAGACCAAGCTCTCAGGCAGGTGTCAGTGCTGCCTTCGTGCCTTACTTTTCCATTCATCGATAAGCAGGTCCCGGCTCTCGAAGGACTGGTCGTAAGGGTCAGCCACGGGCTCGTCGTCAGGATCGTGGTACTGGGCGAAGTAGTCGTGCGCGAGCGCTTGGGCTGCCGTGATCCTCTTGTCCGAGTCCAGTACAAGCATCTTCTCCAGCAAGTCGACAGCTGTTAGTCCACAAAAAGAGAAAGCTTTTAATTTTTAACACGTTAGCAAAAATTCTGCCTTACTAAGCAAACACACAGCTTCCACCCTTCAAGCCTACACGAAGAATTCTCCTCCAGAGCGTCGGCTCCAGGACATACTTTCACTTTTCTCTCTTGTGTGTATTTTGTATTATTTTTAAAAAATATGTTACTGAAGAATTAGAAAAAACAAAACAAAACAGATTCCATTTGAACAAGCAGACATTCTGTGGAATGTCCGGCCAAACTGTTACCACTGTAGTCCAACTGTGTCAAAACGAAAGCCTAAAACTAAAGTGACCTAGGGGAGGTAAGTAGGGCTAGTTTTTAATTTTTCAACTTTTTTGTCCCCCTCACTGTTTATTTACTAACATAAGGCAAATGACTATTCATCAAACGGGTCTTCAAACAATGGACAGAATGAGGGCTTTCTTTGCATGGGTGTGTGGATGAGGGGCAGGGCATTTGGATAAAGTGATATTTTATTTTATTTTTAAAATTTTCATGTGAAAATTTTCAATATACAATACAATGAATACTCATGTTGACCACCCACATCCAACAATTAACATTTTGTATTTCTTTCTTTCTATTTTTTGCTGCCACAATTTATTTTTATTTTTTTAAATAGATATCTTGATTTTTTTACAGAGAGGAAGGGAGAGGAATAGAGAGTTAGAAACATCGATGAGAGAGAAACATCAATCAGCTGCCTCCTGCACACCCCCTACTGGGGATGTCCCTGCAACTAAGGTACATGCCCTTGACCAGAATCGAACCTAGGACCCTTTAGTCCGCAGACCGACGCTTTTTCCACTGAGCCAAACCGGTCAGGGCATTGCTGCCCCATTTTAAAATAAAATTATACACATGATACTTTACAGCTAAATATTTCCACATAAAGACATCTTCCTGCCCTAACCGGTTTGGCTCAGTGGATAGAGCGTCGGCCTGCGGACTGAAAGTTTCCAGGTTCGATTCCGGTCAAGGGCATGTACCTTGGTTTCGGGCACATCCCCAGTGGGGGGTGTGCAGGAGGCAGCTGAATGATGTTTCTGACTTTCTATCCCTCTCCCTTCCTCTCTGTAAAAAACCAATAAAATATATATTTTTAAAAAGACATCTTCCTATATAATCATAAAACTACCACATCTGACAAATATGTAATTCCCAAATATCTAACATCCAGTTCAAGTTAGAATTTCTCCGATTATCCTATTGTCTTTTACACCCACCTTGTTCAAACCAGGACCAATTAAGGGCCACACACTGCATTTGATTGGGTTTCTTTAGTTTCTCAATATATCTTACCTATTATCTTAGATCTAGTTAGAGAAACTAATTCTCCCTTTTCCTATTCAGACAGCCCGGTTGTCCTGCGAATGTTCATCATGAATCTACACCCTTGTTTTCTTCTACCCCCTGTAATTCCCCTGAAAACCATGTTAGATCTAACAATGAGGTAAGAAGTGGGTTAAGCATTTTTGGTAAGAATGTGGACTTGAAGGAGCAGTAAGGCCATTTGTCCGTTATGAATGATGCTAAATTTGGTCAATTGGGTTGTTTCTTTTTTGCCCTAAGCAAGTGATCTTCGGGTACTTTGAAACCACATGAACAGCTTCAGGCCCTTTCACTTAAGGCTTCCAGCATCCCCTGATTTTTCTTCACAGCAGTTATTTCCGAAGGGTCACAAAAGGGTGATTTTCTAACTCTGTCAAATGAGGGTGTGCTGAGTTTCAGAGGATGCAGGACAAACACTGCATGAGCATAGGCACCACCTGTGAAACCAGGCTTCTGAGGCTTTGCAAATTACTGACAGTTCCTTCACTGCGAAGGGGTGGGAAGAGAATGGGTTCCTGAAGAGGTTACTGCTGGGTACACCCAGGGGGTAAAAGACCCCATTCTGTAGCCTTCCAGAGAAACCAAAGAATTTGGTTTCAAGGGATAGAAAACAAGGTGAATACTTAAGTGTTGATTCAGGCTCAGTTTACACTTAAAGCCTTGGGAGAAATGCCTGGATATACGTCCTTCTCTTCTTAGAAAAAATAAACGGCATCAGCTGTTGTTTGAAGCATATGGTCTTTGCCACCCCGAGGGTAAAGGGTACCATGTCCTGCAAACAAGCCCCTGACAAGGAACACAATCAGGGGTAAGAAAGAGGGTCCTCTTAGATCTGGGCAGATACAAACACACACACTACATCTAAGGGCAGTTTCAGTTTTGATTTGTGTTTGGAGGGTAATGTGAAACAGGAAGTCAGTGACTGACATAACAGGTGTCAATATTTACATTCCTGCTCAGCCAACAGCTGGGCACAGATTCCTGGTCAGTAACACCATGTTCTCAGACGTCTGCAAGAAGAGACTGTATGGCATCAGCGCCTGGCAGGGCATCGGGCTGAGGTTCCCGGAACGGCAGTGCGAGCACAGATGGCCTAACGCCTCCACGCACCTCGCTTGCAGTCTGCAGTGCTACGCGGTGTCTAGTCCTTTTGAATGTTTACATGTTTTGATTCCAGAGAAGGGGACACCTATCAGATGCATGTGACCTAAATAAGCTGATCACACACCTACCCCCCTTACCCCCAGAAAAATCTTGATTCCAGAGAAGGGAACACCTATCAGATGCATGTGACCTAAATAAGCTGCTGATCACACACCTACCCCCCTTACCCCCAGAAAAATGAATAAACACATCGGAGTCAGCGAACAGGAAGTCAAAGTAAGCACTGCCACGTCTGAAACATGAGCCGATGTGACGAAAAAACACCCAGAACAGAATGACAGACAAGAAAGCTACCAGCATACAACATCATCTCCCAAATTCTTGGAGTACTTACAACTCAGAGAGCGTCTCACAGATCCCTGAACTAGACAATACAGCTCAAATATGTCAGACACAGCCAATGAGAGCACAGCAGGGCAGATGCCAACCTAAACCAGCCCAAGAATTTTGCACACCCCCTGAGAGTCTGTGGATTTGTTCCTGGAAGCGAGTGTGACCAGCTGAGACCTGAGGAACCCTCCACCTCCAGGATGGACATGAACTCACCAGCGATCGCCCAACACTTCAGAGTGAGAGTACCTGTGCGACCTTGAGAATGACCACAGTGACATTAAGACTGCAGTCAACTGTGATGATGGGATATTTAAAAGGTAAAACCTCTCAGTCTCACTCCAACCTCTGAAGAGTCCTCGCGACCCTGAGGCACAGCTGCTGGGACTGTTGAGCAGGGTGACCCACCATACACTCTTGAGAAAAGTGAGAAGGTTGATTACACCACCATCATAGGCTCTCCTCGCTCCCCTCTGGTCTGAGCTCTCTGCGTTCGCCACTGTCTACTGCGCCCTGAGTCAGGGTGCTAGAGCCTCAGACGAGGCCACCTTCAGGGGCCACTAAAGCACACATTGCCCCCAGCTTTGGAGACTAAGGCAGCTCCTTCTTTAGCCAGGGCAGTATACATCCTGCAGCTGCTAGTCATGTCCCTTTGCTAATGGTCCTGGAAGTGGTGGTGGCAGGAATATGGGGCCATTCCTTAAAGCCCGAGGTGGCAAATTAGCTCCAGTGAGAATGGCTGTCTCTGAGGAGCAGAAGAAGAGGGGAAGGGAAAGTGCAGGAGGATGACAGACCTGCAGCACCTGAGGGTACAAGTGAGCAGGGCACACAGCGGGGGGCGCCGGGGCCTACAACACTGTCTGTGCCAGTTGCTCTTCCCCTCAGCCTGGGTAAGAAACGACAGCAGCTGTGAGCAAGTCACAGACTTCAAATCCCTAACTTTGTCATAACCAATTTCATATCCATGACATGAGGATACAGTCAACTTACCCAAGGGGTTGGCACCAATAAACACATTTGCAAAGTTCATCTTCGGCATCTGGGTTAAAGACTGAATATAGTTTCTTGCCTGCAAAAGAAAAGGTTTTCAAAATGACTTTTTGTTCAAAGATGTTACTGCCCTCAGAGAGTCTCGGGCCTGACCAGGAAGAAGCGTTAGCTGACAAAGTCCACTAGCTCCAATGTTCATGACTGTCTTGGGTAGTTATTAGAGACTTCTCTCTTAGTGCTGTCCTCAACTTCCTTATTTATGATCACTACCTTACTTATATCCCTGCTATATCTCAGTTATATGTCAAGTGGACGAAATGCTAACTAATCAAGTTCCCTTTCATTAGCTTTCTGATCAGAAGTTAAAAAAAAAATGAGGCCAAGCCCTAGCCTGTTTGGCTCAGTGAATAGAGCATCGGCCTGCAGACTCAAGGGTCCCGGGTTCGATTCTGGTCAAGGGCATGTACCTTGGTTGCGGGCACATCCCCAGTAGGGGGTGTGCAGAAGGCAGTTGATCGATGCTTTTCTCTCATCAATGTTTCTAACTCTCTATCCCTCTCCCTTACTCTCTGTAAAAAAATCAATAATATATATATATATTTTAAAAATGAGGCCAAGATATCTAAGAAGCAGCCCTTTCTGAGACAGCCTCCCTAAAAGCTAAAACTGGCGTAGGAACTGGTATCCTAATGGAAGTCCAGGACTGGCAGTCTTCCGATGGTGCTGGTCTTAGTGAATGCTCTTAGCACACCAAGAGCATAAATATTAAACCTTGTTACCAAGCAATCTTGGTAACAAGAAAACCTAAGTTTAGTATATCCAAAGAGGCTCGAACACATGTTAAAAATACTAAACCAATGACAGCAATAAAGAATAGCAGATTATAAATTACAGGGCCCAGGCAAGAAATCCTCCCCCTGCCACTTATAAGCTACATCTCCTTGGGCATGTCTTAAGTCTCATCTGCAAAATATTAATATTCGGTGCTAGTATGTGGCTTGTCTACATCATATGGTTATTATGCTACTCAAGCAAGAGAAAACTCATGAAAGAGCTTCAAACTATATTTTTGACACAAACAGCATTTATATTACCAATAGGTTGTTCTATATTTGGTCCCTGGGCTGGGACAGGCTTGAATTTGAATCTTGACTTTAACCTGTTGAGCAAGTTACTTATTATCTTTAAGTCTTGAGTTCTTCAGCTATAAAAAGGGATCAGTCCCAGTGCCTACCTCCTAGTGCGGGAGCGAGGCAGGGTGATGCGAACCAGCACCTCCTCAGCACAGCGCTGGGTCCCGAGCGGGAGCTCAGCGACACCGGCTGTACCATGGCTGCCTTTAGGAGGGACGTCTGCTCTCATGTCCTAAGGATGTGCCAACTGCCCAACTGCTGAGCTACATTCTAGGGAATGTAAGGTGCCAAATTCTTTCAAGGACTGACAGCTCTAATCAAGGCAAAACCAAAAACTGGTCTTGAGAATAACCACATAAATACAAATGTAACTTATAAATGCGGGCATCAGATATTAGGTGTTAAACTACATCAATTACCTTCCGTTTCAATGAATAAATCCCACTATCTGCGTAGTTGAGATAAAACTTCTTTGAATCGATTTTAACCACCTCCTCACAATTTCTCAACATAAAGGTACTCATGTATGTGGGTGCACGTCGCACACACTCACGTGTACACACAAGGTTAGAAAAAGTTCTGGCTGTTAGGGCAACTTTACCTTCTCAATACATGTGCAGTGAGCAGGCAAGACCCGCTCTGAAAAGCAGCTGAGGGTCTTTCTGATCCGAAAAGCAAGTTCTAGGGACTGAATACCTGCATGGCTGTAGTCCAGGGGTCCTCAAACTACGGCCCGCGGGCCACATGCAAATACAAATATTGTATTTGTTCCCGTTTTGTTTTTTTACTTCAAAATAAGATATGTGCAGTGTGCATAGGAATTTGTTCATAGTTTTTTTTTAAACTATAGTCCGGCCCTCCAACGGTCTGAGGGACAGTGAACTGGCCCCCTGTTTAAAAAGTTTGAGGACCCTTGCTAGTCCCTTCCTCCTGAGCACACAGAAAGAGGCTGAAGGGACCAGAGGGCAGAGAGGCCTGTCTCCTGTAGAGAACAGTCATCCCTCTAACAAGACAAATGCAGACAAAGATGAGCTGGGTGTAGCTGAAGGGGAGGGCCTCTGTGATGCCAACCTGGCTCCCAGAAAGTGAGGGCACCTTAGAAAAAAGTGCCCCAAACATCTCTGATGACAGGACTAGAGTTAGACTAAATAGTTAAGAATTGGTAAAAAAGGCACCTCACCCTACGTAGGTATTCACATTTATTCTATACTAGAGGCCCGTTGCACGAAAAGATTCGTGCAATAGGCTTTCCCTTCCCCTGGCTGCCGGCACTGGTTTTCCTCCGGCACCGGGGACCCAGGCCTTCGCTTCGGCCGGAGCCGCCTTCAAGCCTTCGCTGCTCTGGCCAGAGCCACCTTCAAGCCTTTGCTGCCCTACCCAGCCGCCGGGGTCGGGTCGCACATGGGACGCCCGCCACCCCGGGTCGCAGATAGCAGGCCCGGATGGCGGCAGGGTAGGCGGGATGGCGCTGTCCTGCTCCACCACCCCGGGTGGCAAATAGCAGGCCCGGATGGCAGCCGGGGCAGGCGGGATGGAGCTGTCCCACCCTGCCTGCAGTATGCAAATTAGCCGCCATCTTTGTTGGTGGTTAATTTGCATATAGCTCTGATTAGCCAATGGGAGGCGTAGCGAAGGCGTAGTCAATTACCATGTTTGTCTATTATTAGATAGGATTACTTGTGTATTCTTTTGAACATAGTACTTATTAGTGGTTGGGTATTTTAGTGTTTTTTAAATGAAGAACCCTCTTTGGTCATTAAAAAACTGATGACTAGGGAAGTATGCTAATGCCTTCAGTAACTATAGCTGCAGCTGAAAGTCATCAGATGGCAGCATGCCCTCGTCACAGGCACAGAACCCAGAAGACAAAACAGCCTCTTGAGCACTAAATTCACAAAACCCAAGTAGAAAAGTAACATCATTTCTACATGTAAGTCTATAACTTGTATTCTCAGTCCACAGGATTGGATGAGAATTTATCCCAACTATCAACATCCTGCAGCAGCACACAGGCATCGGTACCTCAGTGGTCACAAGGCACATGCAAGCATTCAGTGACAGTACAAGTGTGCTGGTTATACAGTGGCAATCAAATAGGGGCATCCCTGTGCAGGCTATTGTTCTCACCTCATGGCTTGGCATCCTGTTAATGAGATAAGCAGGGGGTGTCCCCGTCAGACGCATAATCTGCTGAAGCTGGTTAATATCTTAGATGCCTAGTCAAGGGCATTGTCAAACATATGGTGCAAAGAATAACTTTCAACTCAAGTTTTAAAAGGCCAATAGCCACCCCCAAATAAATAGAAAACCTACTCCCCACCAGTCCCACCCACCCCAGGCCAGAGCCCAAGGCTGCATATTGAAGCATGATTCCGTGAACGGCACGAGACTTATCAGGCATGTAGCCAGTGGCTGGCCGTGCAGATAAGGACAAATTTCTGTGGTTTTAGCATCATCTTTAACATTATATATTTCAAGATTCCTGGAAAGAGATGCCCCTTGATCCAGGATGCCAGCCAGAGAACTACTCCAAGTACTGATGGCTAAAACCCGTTTACTTGTGGGTCAATGGAGATGATTAAAAAATGTTGACTCAATTCAGTTCAGAAGAATATACCCAGTGTGACCATTTAAGGAAGAGGTTAAATTTGGAGGCACAGGCTCTGGTGATCTCCACCCCTCTAATGTAAGACATGGGCGGGTGTTGGGTTGATAAGCAATGCCAAGTTTCAGAGACATTAGTAGTGGTACATTTAAAATACATGCCACAAACACACAGGTAAGTGAAGAAAGGGAACATGGGGAAGTTAGAAGCTAATGGTAAAGACAAAAGAGAAGTTCCAGGCTGCTGTCCGTCACAGAAGTCTTAGCCTGCACAACAGAGATTTCTCCCAGTCGTTTTAAACGGTGACCAGACTGACCTCAGCTAACACACAGCTGGAACGATGTTTGCAGAACACTGCAATTACTCGACAAAGGCAGAACTATAAACAAGCACATACATAGGCTGTACTCCTCTTAGCTGTGCCATCAATTTTAACACAATTCCCCTCTTTGAAAATATTAGGACTGTTTGTTTACCATGTGTTCCTGTTAAACAGAAGTGATGGGATTTTTAAAATCCTCAACACAATTCAATAAAAACCATGTCATATTCCCTTTCTTGTTAACTATTCACGCCCTCCTTTGGTTGTAGCATCATCTTCATAAGCACCCTGGTCAAGTGATTTCACTTCTTTGTGGCTTCTCTCAGTAATTTTTCTGCTTTAGCTCATTCCCTGAACTCAATTTCCCTAGTGGTCAGACTACCACAAACACCTGTAAGGCTGGCCATCAGAAAAGAGCTGGTTCTACCCTGCCTTTTCTGTGCCAGCATATTCTAAAGGCGGGATGAAGGTCTCTTAACATTCTCACACAAAGTTTAGATTTACCTCTAAACAAATGACATAACAAACAGTACTCTGCATACCAAGAGAAATAACAAAAGGGGGTCAGTAAGTAAACCAGCAATAGAATGCCAGTTGGGTTTTAAAATGTTAAAATCCTGCCACCTCTCTCTTCTTTCCTATGAACAATTCAGGGAGGGGCAAACACAGGTGTACAGTTGTCCGTATGGAGAATAATACAATGATTAATAAACAAGAGTAAACTGTGTTTCATGTACTCACAACTGTGCACCTACATTTGCCCCACCATGTACTTGTCCTGTACATTTTCTGGTTTGCCTTCTTTAGCCAAAAAGGCTATTATACCCGCTTCTTGTCAGGAGTTAGAAAAAAATAAATGTCTAGGGAAAGGTGTGAGAATGAGTCAGTGAAACGGCTCTTTTGGTTTTTTTAAAATAGGATTTTTGTTGTTTCACTAATTGCTGTATGTACTGGGTCACCAACCAAAAGAAGCCTATCTCCTTAGCCATCCATCAGGGCCAATTTATCCCTTCTCTCAGGGCACATCCTAACTTGTTCTCAACCAGCCCTGTTACTACGTTCTCTTACTCAGAATGTCCTCTTCTTTACTGACTCAATTTCTACACTATTTCCCTACTTTTCAGGAGTAACGAAAATAGCTACTGCCTTTCTGTTTACGATATTGCTTCAATAATGAATTTTTAACTTTTAAAATCTTTAATTTTACTCACCTGGCTTTGTTATTTTCATATCACGTGTTCCACACATCACGTGCTTTTAAAATAAATTGGCATTGGGCAATATCACTAAACATCAAATTAATCTTGCCTACCCTTCTGAATGTTTAAACTACTTTTATCCACTCGCCATAATTATGTAGAAAAAAACCCAAACCACCTTATTCCTATACTACGTACAATATTATTTGAGTAAATTCTGTATGCTGGTACCCAATTTTATTATGCCCAACTTCAGAGCTTTGTAATATATTATGTGTTTTATTTCACCAAAAATAAAGACATTTCAATATTAGGTCAGGCACTTGAATAAATGGTGGCTTAATAATAGGTAAATACTATTTTGCCCATACCTTTTGTTTTAGAAAATCTTGTGACTAATGGCACATACCTATGGGCGGATGGGTAGGAGTGGGAGGGGATTGAGCAGGAGCTGTGGTAGCCACCCCAGGTGGCATGAATCTGCTATCTTAGTCTCATTAGCTCTGCTCATTAATAAACCCAACTTCTTCTCAACCCCACTCCCCTCCCTCATGTCCTCTCTACCAGCCAATCTTTCTAAGCAAAGGCATTTAAAACAAAAAAGCACGTGTCCTCTCTAAACATCTCCTTGTATCTTTTCTGATTGGCTCCAATACAGCTTCTGCATCTCATAAAGCAGAATAAAACACTCCCCTGGGCTGACAGTGTGGTCGGCAACTCTGACAGTGACTTTCACACAATGTGCAGTCACGTGAGATTCAGGTTCAGCTCACGTTCTCAGAGCATCTGGGATCTACGCTCGGCTCTGCCAAGTGACCTAGTGCATGACTCAGGCAAGTCACAGCCTTTCTGTGCTTTTGCTTCATCGTCCCAAATAAGTAAATAAAACAAAATAAAATAGGGCCGGTACATTCTCTTACATATGGTCAGAGTGGAGATTCACAAATACCCTGGGCTTTGTGGTCCTTTTAAGGAATGTACCAAACACATGCCACATGACAACAGTCTGTATTTTGACAGGGGGATGATGAACCGTTTGAACTCACCTGCGTAAGCTACCCAGCAGTCTTCCCAATTGGGCGAAGGGACCGCTTCAGTCAGAAATGCTAGGAGGAGAACCCAGGAAGGCACCACTGCAGCCTTTCCCCTTCTATCCACTGCCTGGCAGCAGACAGAGGGAAGAGAGAGACAGGCTGGGCTTTCACTATTTCGCTCAAATCTCCTGCCCAACAGCAGGAAATCATGGCCAAAGGAGGCCAGAGTGGCTTCTCTGTCAATGCCTGCATGGAGGCAGGAAAGCACTGCCCAAAGCTTCTTATCGGGTTATTAAAATTTGTAATTACAATGTCAGGCTGTGGGAGGAAGGATTTACAAGCCTACTCCTGTGGCTCTGAGGCATCAGTAGTGGGGTGCAGCCTCTGCTGGTCTGGGGACTGGGTAGAGAGGAACTGGTGCTTTACACAGGTGTGCAGGTGGTCTATTCTAAACCAATAGAAAGCAAGGAGCTTCTGGAAAAGGGCAATAACGTGCAATGTACATTTTCTTCTTCTAGTGCTGATGGTAGACTCATCCATGGTGAACCACATGATCTGAGAACAAACACTAACCCAAAAGTGAAAAGAGCCCTTGACTACATGTGAAACCTCTGAGAACGAGAAAGTCAGGGCTGAAACAGAGACATAAATTTTCCACTACCGTCTGGGAATGAATTAGAATTTCAAATCTCATTTACTACCACTAAGATACCACTGCCCAATACAGGCCCCGTGATCTAATGCATACCCAGATAGAAAAAAAAGCACACTCATGCATGTGACCAGGAGGGTGTGTGTGTATGTGTGCAAGTGTATACACACACACACACACACACACACACACACACACACACACCCTCATCCAGAAGTCAGCACACAAAGGGCACACGTGCTTAGAAACACACCCGAGTCAAGGTACAGATGGAAGGCAAGTTGCAGACTCCCAACAGGGCAGATAATTACAATCAAAGCATCAACTCACAGACTCTGAGGAGATTTTCTTCAAAAGCTCAGCCCCTGGGGTTCCAACGAGTCTTAAAATGAGCTTCAACTGATCAATATCTAAAGGTGGACTATAAAGGAAAATGTTGGGACAAAATAAAAATGAAAAACAAACAACAAATAAAACAAAACAAAATACCCCAATGACAAAAATGAAAAACCAAGCCAAAATGGTGAATCGTCTAAGGCTTCTGCAGGACGGTCACTTCAAGTAGGACATGCTCCTCCTGTACAAGGATTCAAAATGCTACCACACACACCCCATGGACATTCGTCTTGTGCATCTGTCCACATCCCCCATCAGTAAAGTGAAGCGACTGGAGCTGGGTACTGAGCTCAGAAACAGCAGGCGAAACACGAGAGCTTCCTCCGTCCAGATGCTCAGTCCACACCTACCTCTTCACCTTCCATCAAAACATCAGTAGCCAGTTAAGCCAAGAGCAGTGGTAAGCGGAGTGCTACAGGACAAAGCAGCAGAGCACAGGAGCCAGGGTATACCAGCCCCCCTGTAACTATCCCCCCGAGGCCTGACCTAGGAGCTTGTAATGTGGCAGGGCCTGTGCAGATCCCAGAGCCTAACCACTGAACATCCCTCTGGAATGCCTCTCCCTCTGCCCTGGCCACAGCAGGCAGAGAACTGTGGGTGACAGCCAGCAGAAGGCCTCACTCCCACACTGCACCTGGATGACCTCTAGGAGTGCCATAACGAAGCAGGACCAATGAGGTTTTAACCTTATAAAAACATGAAAAAAAACTCACATATCCCAAAAGTTCTAAATAATAGGCCACAGTGCCAAACCTTTATTCTGATAGCCAAGTCTTCAAGTTCCCTCAGAATGTATGTGCACATATTAATGAGAAGACAAAAACTCCCATTTGTTCTTACTGCTTTTAGCCTTGTCTGAAAAGAAAGTTAAAAGGAGGGGGATAAAATCTTATAAAATAGCTTTTAATAATCTCTGAAAATGTGAATAGTTTACCCATGTCTAACTGACATTCGAGGGGACAGGACGGGAGGATGACTACCTCTGATCCCTGCAGGTTTTGCAACTTCAGTCTCAGCTTAAACTTCACCTCCCCAGAGAGGCCTCTCCAATCCTCTATAAAGAAGCCCCCACTTCCATTATCGGTGTCAGCATGATGCTTGAAAACACCACAGTGCTCACCACAATCTTTAACCACTATTTGCTCACTGCCTGCCACCTCTACTGAACTGCAGCTCTCTGGGGGAAGGGGCCACTCCGCCGGCCCACCACTTATCTCCAGTGCTCAGCCTAACACCTGCAGCCTCTGGGCACTCAAAATATCTGCGGAGAAGGTAGAACAGGATGGAGAGAAGGAGGAAGGAAATACTCCTTCTTATGGTTATAGGTAAAAAGGCAATACAATGTAACTTAAAAATAATGGCTTCTGCAAGTCATAGTTGTTGCCTAAGTTACAGGAATTACTTATGCAATAATATCACTGGCATTTTGCCCTGTTTTTTGGTGTGTTTTTTTTCTTCCCCAGACATGAAATTGGCTTAATGTGGAAGCAAATTCTAGACAGGAGTCAGCAAACCCCAACCTGCTGCCTGATTTGAAAATGACATTTTATTGGAACACAGCCTTGCCTGTCCATTTATGTATTGTCTATGACTGCTTTCACTGGACACAACAGAAGCCATATGGTCCCCAAAGTCTAAAATATTTACTATCTGGCCCTTTAAGAAAAGGTTTGCAGAACCCCATCCTAGACCCAAAAAACTTATTTCTAGAAATTATAAACAAGTCCACTTAAACAAGTTACTTCTGAATTAAGAATAGAGAATTCTGTCATCTGCAAATGGCAGAAGTTAATGTGTTCTGGAGGTTAAATGTTCAGTACTTATTTCTTAGTTTATGAGAAAATTTTTAAAGCATACATTAATGAAGACAGAGCAGAGAAAAGAATGCATACCATCTTGCTCTAAAATAATCAAATTATGTAACAATAGAATACAGAATCCTTTCTGCTCATGTAAAATGATTCAGTTTGCATTCATTTAGTTTGCTCAAACTCTTCAGAAGTAAATTTAACTTAGGCCGCTACCCCAAAAGATAAAATATATTGCATATGAAAAAAACCCACTAGACTCCCTCAGCTCTCAAACAGGTAGTTTTATGATAAATTCATCAAAACTAACCTCTGGAAGTAACGCTGAGATTGGGTGTCTTGTTTTGGAGACTTCTGACTACTGAGAACGAGGCAGCTTCAAGCTCCCGAGGAGACAGAAGACTCCTGGGTGTGGGTTTCTCAACGCCCTCACTTCCCTCCACACACTGGAGGCTCACTGCAGCAATGAGGCGGGACCGTGTCCTTCTCCCACTTCCTCGCCTCACATTCATGGCCTCCCTGACTTGGCATCAGGCTTCTCTTCTGACTCTGCCTCAAACTACTATTCCTTAATGCACCCAATGCTTCAATTCACAACAAATGTTCCAGGCACGTCTAAGCTTTCAACTTCCTATTTACCCAAGTCACAAACAGGACTAGCCTCCATTCTCCCCTCCTACCAAGCCTTTTTTCTCTTACTCTTCAAAGCCCTGCTCAAATAACTCTGCCACGAAGTCTTCCTGGTTATCTGGACTTCAAATGAATCCCTGCTTCTTCTCGTTAACTTAGTAATACCTCTACTATAGTACTTTTTAAGTCACTCTGTCTTGTTTTATAATCAGAGAGTGAAAATTTGTTCAAATAATGCCTGTAACTCACCTTCCACTGAGTCTGACCATCTGGTTTGGGGGACAGCTATCATCTTATCCCAGCACCTTCCACAAAGTAGGCTCAGTAAATATGGGTAGACTTGAAAACATTTTCTATACTACACTTTTCAACTCAGTGCCACCCCTCTGCCTTGCCCTCAAAATCTAGAAGAACCAGACTCAGTATAAAGTCTCAACACAGAAAAATAATCAAGAAAAATTGCATCATCTAACGTGGAGCCTACCAAGTTCTCAAACATTCCATCTGAAGTGTTTACACCATAAAGAGATACAAATACTGCGCATGAGTGCGTGAGGGCTATGGACAAAGAGAGTTGGTAGAGCATGACAGTCAATACTTAGGAGATTAGTAAACACACAATACCAAAAACAATCTACTTAGCAGCTAAAAGCACTTGCATGAAGGAAGTCAAAGCATGCAAACCTCAAAGGACATCACCATAGGTTCTCCAAGAGCTGGCAAGTCCACTGAAACACAGGTCAGTCTTCAGCAGTACCAGCCACTGTAAGGCCACTACAATGTGTCCAGGCAGTTAAGGCCAGAAGGAGCTTCAAGTAGCTATATAAGCAAAGCAAAGCAAAATTTACCACATATGACAGTTATTTCCACAGCAAGCCATCCTTCTTCATAGGTTTAATCCCCCCTCCCCCGACCGGTGTTATTTTTACTGTTAGTTAAAAATATATTTTAATTATAATGACCACATTGTCAAAATTTAAACCATAAATTTGCTGATACTTCCTAAAACATAGATACAAATATGACTTCAGCCTATGATTACTCTTTAGGTCCTTTGTAACAAAAGTGAAAGGAAACTAGAAGGAATAGGTGAGGGAAAAACCTAAGGATAATGGGGGAACTAGAGGGAAAGTAAGAAGGATGTTTAGTCAGTTCTAAGTGTGCTAGGCATTTTCTAGAAACCTCCACAGATTGAAGAATTGAAGATGAATAAAAGAACTAGTTGCAGGGCCTACCTGCAACCACTACTGCTTGTGAGCAGCAGTTTTCAATTAAAAAAAAAAAGTCTATATGGGGCAAAGTTAGAACATTGGTCTTTGGAGAGTGGGAAATCCTCATGGTGACAGACAGGATGGGCCAAAATGAGCCCTAGGCAACTTGATTGATTCTCTTCTTGGTCAACAAAATAGTTGTTTCACTGTTATACAAAGAAAATTCCTTTATTTATTAATATATATTTTTATTGATTTCAGAGAGGAAGGGAGAGGGAAAGAGAGATAGAAACATCAATGATGAGAGAGAATCATGGATCGGCTGCCTCCTGCATGCCCCCCACCAGGGATCGAGCCCACAACCCAGGCATGTGCCCTAACTGGGAATCGAACCGATGACCTTTTGGTTCATAGGTTGACGCTTAACCACTGAGCCACGCCAGCTGGGCTATTTATTGTCTTTTTTATGTCTGAAGTATTTCATAAAGTGTCGGAAAAAAGAGATGAAATGAATAGAGTAAGGAGTAAATTTAATACACTAGGGAAAATCACATGGAGCAGAGCAGCAAGCTGATGGCAAGTGGAGTATAACTCAACAGCCCCATTACCCTCCAGTTAATGTCATAAGGGAACCATTTCTATTAAAATACAAAAAGGAGAATAAAGTTTTATACATGGGGAAATTCACCTAGGGAAGGAAAACAGCAGTAAACCTAGGCTGTGCCCCTGGAAGAGAACGCAGTATGTGATGTGTAACAGGGCTATGAATCTCATTTTCTCCTTCCTCAGGCTGCAGACTCAAGCGTCAGTAATAACATTTTCTAACTATACTATACTTGAAGAGACATTCTGGATCCTCACTTTCTTCTAGTGTAAAGTACTGTCAGCTGTGTCCACTTGATGTACCCAGTCAACTAGACTCATAAGGAAGGGCTTCATTCTTTAAAGAAAATTACAATTCTATTTTGAGTTAGTTGGAAGGGTTCTGCAAAGTCACAAATGAGAATAATTTCTAACCTAGCAATATGTAATTAGCTTTAAGACAAAAATTAATAATTCTTTTATCTTAAGGAAAGCTCCAAAGATTATTTCAACAACCAGTACCAAAGGAATCTCTCAAAAAAAAGACTGATCACAAAAAATGAAAAGGTGAAATGGAAAGATTTGCAGAGATCTAAAACTGCACAATACAATACAATACCAGTAATATCATGTGATTAAATTTAAATGTGATCTAAATAAAGTCTAATGAAATTTAAAATTCAGATCAGATAAAAACACTCATAAAATTATAAATAGCCCTGGCCAGTGTGGCTCGGTTCGTTGGAGCATTGTCCCCAACACCAAAAGGTCACTGGTTCGATT